GAGAAAACGAAGAGGAGAGAGAGAGAGAGAGAGAGAGAGAGAGTGGCACAGGAGGAAAAAGGGAAAAAGAAAGAAAAGAAAAAAAGAAAAGAAAATAGATACGAACCAACGTTAAAAAAAAAACAGTCCTGAAATGCGTCTATACACACTTCTAGGTTAAAATAAAATTACTGAGAATATTTAAATACCTTGAAATTATTTAAATTACACGTCAGAAATATTTATTAATCAAAACTAATTAATTAAATCAGATTAGACACACTAATAATTCTTAATAATCTCAATTAATCCCATTTAATTCTTCGGGGTGTTACAAGTTCGAATCACAACTCAAATTTTTTCTACTTTTTTTTCCTTTTACAAAAATTCAAATTCAACTTGTATAATATTTTCTCTCACATGAATTCACTTAATCAACTCAACTCAAGTTCACAAAACTTGAGTCTTAAACAACATATAGTTTCACAAACGAATATGTAAAAAGCACAAAAAATTGATTCGTCCATATTAGATCTCCAAATGCTTAAGGATTACAAAAATTCAATACTGAAATGTTCTATTAATTCCACATCGTAGAATGTTCTAAATACAAAACAAGCCAGCAATCACTAATCAAAAAAATCAAATTACTCTAAATTTCCAAAGAGATCATTCTCCTTAAGAACTACAAAAATCCTACAAATTCCATATGTGGTCCAAACAAAAGAAATAAGAAGATTAAAAGAAGATTAAAATGAACATGAGGGCGTATTTAGAAGATATGAGAGACATTTCGGAGAGAGAATACCTAACATGTGGGCGGCTTATCATAACGAATTGACCAACGCAGTTAGACACAAAAGTTTTTTTGTTATGTCCATATTGAGAGCTCCCTGAGAGAGATAATAAGATCAATAACTAGCAAGGAAAAACCTTACTGTGTGTGCACGGACATGCAGTGTTTGATAGAAAGCTTTGTAATATTTGATCCAATTAAACAAGGGTCAGTAACCTGACTTTACCTATATGCAGATCTCCATTCTGGTATGCCTGTTCAAAAAACAATAAATACATAATAAAAAATAAATAAATAAAAAAGACAACGAGAGACCCAAAATAACAAGGACAGAATACAACAAGCGTATTACGTTAACAATGCAAAAGTAATATATTATCTACACTGGAAAATGATTTAAAAACAGGGGCTCCCTTGCAAAAATGATAATGCAGACTGTTCCATATGGTTTGGTATTGCCACCTTAAGGATGTTTCCAAAACAGACATTTATCCTTTTGTTTCTTTAAATTTACACCTATGACGGGTATCTAAAGCAAAACACGAAATTTATGCAATACATGCCATTTTCATCAACTATTTCAAAAAGTATGGAAAAACCACAGGAACAACAGTACATACATCTTTTCTAGACAAAGCATGATTTGAAAATAACCTTTTCTAGACAAAGGATATTTTCCTCGATATTGCATGTTTTCTTAAAGGGGAGAGAAGAGATTTTATAGAGAGCATGATTTGATACAAGGGATGGGTTGGGAAATTGTTCGCCAACAATCTATTAAAGATCCTGGTGAGCGTAGCCGGTTGTGGATTCCTCAAGACGTCTATAATGTTCTAAAAAACAACAGAGTGAGTATCAAATTCTAATTAAGCTACTACAGAACAACATCTTTCTCTCTCTCTCTATGCGTAATTAGTTTTAGTAACTGTTCCTTTTTACTTTTCATAACTCATATTCTCATTTATCATTTCTTTAAATTCCTAGGGAACCAGAGCAATCAAAGGAATATACCTTGATATGTCTATGATTGATGATGATCTACACTTGAAACCTACTGTTTTCAACGAGATGCATAGACTGAGATTGCTCAAGATATACACTGCAAATCATTCTGATGATCATAAATTCAAAATATATCTTACTGAAGGTCTGCAGTTTCTTCCTCCTTCCTTAAGATATCTTTGCTGGTATAGCTACCCATTAAAATCTTTGCCATCGAATTATGAGGGGGAAAATCTTGTTGAACTTGACATGCCCTGTAGCGAGCTTAAGCAACTTTGGAGTGGTGTACAGGTATGCCATAATATTAATTAATAAGTTGAATATCATGTATTAAATGCTTATGATTACCTATTGTTTTTTATTTAAAAAAAAACCAATTACTTACTAAATTTATAATGACCTGTGTTTTCGGACCACTACTTTGTAAGACCAAGAAAATTTAAAAGTTGGAATTCAACTATTTTTACTAGTAGACCAACATAAAAAAGTGTAAATCATATATGATAAAAATCTACACAGACAAAATTGACTACCTGACAGTCACTTTAAATCAAACCTTTGGACTTAGCTTGAGTTGGAATCTTATGGTATGATTTGCATTACTGAGAAAGTTAAGTCTACTTTATGTGTTTGTATCCAGTTTATGGATATCCTAGCTAAGAACTTCCTTTAATCATGTTTTGGATTGAATTTAATCCTTGTGAATTAAATAACTTACATAACCTAAGTAATACTCATGGAACTTTATGCATTCTTAATGTTATTTATCATTTTGACATTTGAAGTTTTACCATGCGTGATCTTTTAGGATCTATTGGAACATTTAGAATTCCTAATAAATCCTCTTAACTTAATATTACTAAGCAGGGATAAAAATCTTTAAAAATTGATAATTCTAAAAATCTCATGTACAATTTAAATTCATGAACTAAAAACACGCCTATTCAGACATGCTTACATAATTGATCATCAAATAACATAATAATTTTCTTATTGCAAGTAAAGTATCCTGACATGCACTAATGGGGAAATTCATAATCCAAATTGTCATAAAATCACATTTTTATTCATGAATTTATTGGGGCTTACAAAATTAATTTATTTTTCTTGTAGAATCTTAGAAATTTGAAGCGTATTAATCTTGGTTATTCCAAGCAACTGATCAAACTTCCAGATCTATCTCGAGCTCCAAAGCTTGAAAGTATTAATCTTGAGGGCTGTAGAAATTTAGTTGAAGTTCCTCCTCTCAATTTCCAAGGATTTTTTGGATCTCTTACACTATGTGGTTGCATTAAGATTAAATCACTCCCAAAGATATCAGGGAATATCAACTACTTGAATTTAGACTTGACTGGAATAAAAGAATTGCCCTTATCAATTAGGCGTTTTGAAAGTCTTGTGGAATTGAGCCTTCGTGGTTGTCAACATATCAAGAATCTTCCAGCAACTACTTTTCCGAGAAATATACAAGTTTTAAATTTGAGCGACTTGTCAATAAAACAAGTGCCCTTATCAATTGAGTTGTTAGAAAATCTTGTGGAATTGAGCCTCGAAGGTTGTCAACATATCAAGCATCTTCCAGCAGTTCTTCCGAGAAATCTGGAAATATTGAATTTACGAAACTCATCAATAGAACAAGTGTCTTCGTTGTCAATTGAGGGTCTTGATTGTCTAAGGGAATTTTATCTTGGAGGATGCAAAATGCTTGAGAGTCTCCCAACCAACATTTTTAAATCCAAGTCTCTTAGATTCCTTTATCTTTGGGATTGTTCGAGATTGAAAAAATTCACAGGGATCCAAGTGTTAAGCAACTCAGTTATAATTGAAAAGTTTTTTGGGCTCCCTCGTCAAGATATGAGTTGGCGTAAAAAACTCGAGTTTGTCCCAAGATGGATTTATTATTTAAGTTGTCTAAAATTCTTGTCCCGCCACGGGTGTTTGGAACCTGAACATCTCCAAATGAAGCAATTTTTATTGTTCTCTTTCGACCGGCTAATTCTAAGTAACTGCAATATAGTAGAAATTCCTGTTTGGCTGAGCCTTTTATCCTTGTTAACTAAATTAGATCTAAGCGGGAACCCATTTGAGAATATACCATCAAGCATCATAAAACTTCATCGGCTGAGAATACTCGACATTAAAAATTGCAAGAAGCTCCGATCTTTGCCACAACTTCCATCGTCTGTTACGCATCTTGATGCAAGTGGATGTACTTCTCTGGAGACAATATCAAGTTCGGGGTGCTGGAAACTAGGATTCAACATACAGCATGTGACTCGCCCTTTCATTTCCAAAACATTTTCGTTCCGAAATTGCTGGAAACTAGAACGGAATGCACGTAGCATTTTAATTGATTTCTTATACGGAGTTGATAAATTGAATTTGGTACGTATGTATTTTCTATCTCTTTTTTTTGACGTAATTTGTGACGATTGAAGTAATTAACATTAATACACTATTATTCATATATATTGGTGTCTAATGATGTAGGAAGGAAGACGTCATACAATTGAAGTATGTTATCCGGGAAATGAAATTCCAAAGTGGTTCAGGCATCAAGACGAGGGGATTTCAACAACTATGAAGCTTCCCCATGGTTGGCATAATTCTAATTTTATGGGTTTTGCCATTTGCATTGTTGCTCCACTAATCCCAGCAGGCGCAGGCTCCAATTCTTCTAAGTGCGAATGGCGTGAAGAAATTAGGTTTGACTTACATCTTAAAACCAAGTACGGTCAAATCTACAAATATGATAACAATAGCGGGGGTGATTTCTGGATCTACCACGATGATGAGGAGGAGGAGGCTAAAATCTTAAGTAGTGATATTAGCTCGGACCATGTGTTCATGCAATGCGTCACTAACAGCTTGTTCAACAGACACCCTGATGCAATGGAGGCATCATTCTATTTCAAATTTAGAGTTTTTAAGAATGGTGTTCTTCCGCAAAATGAGAATTGTGATTTGATTGTGAAAAGGATTGGAGTTGGGTTGGTATATGCACGCAAATGATTGACTATGTGATTGAGGAGGAGGAATTAGCTGCTATCAAGAACGACTCTGCTATTATCTATCTGGTACTCTTCTCTGAATTTTGATTTGAAAGATAATTATATATGCAATGCCCCTAAAATGCGTCAATGAATATTTGAACGTATTCTTTTCATTAAATGTTGAAACTGTAAAACTATAACGTCTGAGTTATACGCTGAAACTTTTAGTCAAACTCCTACTATATAAAATTTTCCCATAAATTAGAAAAATTGTCTTTTCACTTTAAATTTGGAGTGTTGATTGTCAATTTTATCGGTTTTGAAAAATAGTTTCTTTTTTTCTGCATACTCTTTAGCCAATCTTGTATGACTTCAAGTGTTAGAAGAATAGCTTCACGGATAGAATTCATTACTCAATGTTTTTTCTGAGTTTTGTTGCAAAGCAACAATCCCGAAATAATTAGCATTAATGCACTATTATTCATATATATATTGGTGTCTGGTGATGTAGGGAAGAAGACATCCTAAAATTGAAGCATGTTATCCGGGAAATGAAATTCCAAAGTGGTTCAGGCATCAAGACGAGGGGATTTCAACAACTATGAAGCTTCCCCATGGTTGGCATAATTCTAATTTTATGGGTTATGCCACTTGTATTGTTGCTCCAATAATCACAGCAAGCGCAGGCTCCTATTCTTCTAAGTACAATTGGTTTGTAGAAATTACGTTTGACTTACATCTTAAAACCAAGTGCGGTCAAATCCACAAATATGACCACAATGGACGAGATTTCTAGATCTACCGTGGTGATAAGGAGGAAGATAAAATCACAAGTAGTGATATTAGTTGGGACCATGTGTTCGTGCAATACTTCCCTGCCAAATTGTTCAACAGATATCCTAATGCAACGGAGGCATCATTCTATTTCAAATCTAGATTTTTTTCGCAAAATGTGAATTTTGATTTTATTGTGAAAAGGAGTGGAGTTGAGTTGGTATATGCATGCAAATGATTGATTATGTGATTGAGGAGGTGGAATCAGGTGCTATCTAAAACGACTCTGTTATTATCTATCTGGTACTCTTCTCTAAATTTTGATTTGAAAGACACTTATATATGCAATGCACCTAAAATGCGTCAATGAATATTTGAACGTATTCTTTTCATTAAATGCTGAAACTGTAAAACTATGACGTCTGAGTTATACTTTAAAACTTTTAGTCAAAATCCTACTATATAAAATTTTTCAATAAATTAGAAAAATTGTCTTTTCACTCTAAATTTGGAGTGTTAATTGTCAATTTTATTGGTTTTGAAAATTAGTTTCCTTTTTTCCTGAATACTCTTTAACCAAACTTGTATGACTTCAAGTGTTAGAAGAATAGCTTTACGGATATGATGTTTGAATTCATTGCTCAATGTTTTGGGGATATGTTGTGTTTTTCTTCAGTCCATTGAAAATGTCTTTTTAATTCATTCTAGTTGTATGTGCTTTTTGTTCGTCCTTTCCTATCTTCTTAGCTTTGTTGTCTTTACTTTTTTGTGTTACACATAAAAGAAGGTAAAAAGGCAAACTTGAATTCTGAAATTGGAGAGAATGTTTTCAGCATTTTCAAGGATTGATAGGTAATTTAAATGTTATTACACCTCTTTCTCTCCTAGTCTTTATGTGTTGGCGCTTTTTAAGGTTTTCTGGAATACTCTAACTTAAGTAGAGGAGTTGAATGATAAGCCTTTACTTAGGAAAGTGTTTGTTAGAAGGCATAGGCAGTATAGAGTTGTTTTGGGAAAAGTCTTGAAGAGAATCTAAGCAAGAGAGAGCGACCAGTTCCTCAAATTACCAGGAATTTACTAAATTGTTGTACACCCATCAGCAGAATGTTACATGCTAACAAACTGCGTGTTACATGCCTACACTAAGCATTCGACACGCCTACTGCTAACGGAGAAACAAAAAAAAAATGTGTTCTCTAATTTTCTACAACCACCTATTTATAGAGCATTTATCAGAGTCCTAGAAAAACTCTATCTTATCTCTTAAAATAAGGTCTCAGAAAATAAATATCAAATAATCAGAGACCGAGATAGGTGACGTGATGATCCTAAAGATTACGTTGAAAATAACCTACAGATTCTTTTATGAAGACATTGCGATTAAGATGAAGGGCATGTCTCATATGCTTTAGAGTGAGTGAGAAATTTTTAGGAAAAATGTCCTTAAAGCATATAATGCTTTTATTCTAAAAAAAACATATAATGTTTTTTCAATTATAGTAGGGAAGCATTTTCTTTGTTGATTCCTAAAAAAAGGCAAAAAAAAAACAAAAAAAAAAAGAAAAAAAAAATTGAGGGGGCTCTTTTATTATGGGGTACTATTATTCGATAATTGAAACCAACCTGTAACTCTAATAAAGGCCAACTAAATCCTCAAACCTATTACTTAAAGGCAAAACACAATTCACCGGGAAAAGGAAAAAAAAAAAAAAAAAAAAAAAAAAAAAAAAAAAAAAAAAAAAAAAAACAAAGGTTTAATTGCAGCCTCTAATCAAGCGCACAATATACCAAATTCATAAAACCATTCATTAATAGACAAATGACACAATTACTCACGCAATAAATGCTTCTAGTTTTTCAACTTAGTGTATTCATAAAGTGGTTAGGAGTTATAAATATACATGCCTCTACCTCTGTATTCATCTTCTTTATTTTCTTCAAAGATTCAAGTCAGTTTTTTTATTATTTGAATCTAGAAGAGCTGGTTAGTTTAAGTCAAAAGCTTTTGTTCTTATGAAAAAATAATGTGATAAAAGGATATGTATGATATTTTTAATTGTTATTCACAAATAGAGATTGAAAATGTAAATAAAAAATTTCATTTCGCTTTTAATAAGTATCAAAGACTTGACATGTTCTAGAAAATCTTATAAAAGTTGAAAGACAATTGAGTAAATCATACAAACATACGTAAAAGCAGCTTTTGAAATTAATTAAGCAAAAAACAACCTAAAAAAAGTCATTCCAAAAACCTTAAAAAACGTTATATCACTTTTCTTTTTCCTAAAAGTTCATATAATTGAAGTTTAAGATATTAAGTAGAATTAATTATTAAATTAATTGGGATTGTCCCTCTAATTTTTATATCGTCGTTTTCTTTTAGAAGAATCAAAAGTAATGGTTCATTTACTCGATATGCAACCATGCTACAACGATAGAAGTTGCCAAAGGAGATGCGTAGAAAAATATCCAGCATCAAGAGTCACTGGAGATTGCCAGAAAGAATCTAAAACACCAGCTGGAGTGTGTTACTGCTACATAGAATTTTGATTCCGAAACTTGATTTATAGTGGTTATCAATTATTTCTTGTAACAATTGGTGCGTGTTCTAATTTTTGTATCAAAATAGGTGGAGAACTCCGAACTCAAATTCCTTGTCCATTTTATTTGTCAATTCCTCTGTCTAATTAATTATTTACTAACACATCATCCCCTCAATAAATGGCATAAACGGAACAAAATAAATTAATAGATACAATGGACAGGGGATTTGGGAATAGTTAACAAAATAAATTAATAGATCCTATGTTGGCAATTTGTCTCATTGTCTTAAATACTAATACTTTTGTGACCATAAGATTTATATGTCCTTTTTTTTCCTTCTATTAAGAAAGAGGATGGAGAGAAGTTTAATAATAAGAATCGATGTTTATGATATTGTGAGAAATAAAGTGTTGTATTTTTATTAATAAAAAGAAGATTATTTTTGTTCTCTAAAAAATTGTTTAGTTAAGAGATTATTTTGAGTACAATAAAAAGGTGAAATCATGTTTAGTTATAATTATTAATTAATATTTTATAACATTATTGATGAGTATTAGAAAATGAAAAAAAAAAAGGAAAATAACTTTAAATCGTTTTCTAATTCCTTCACTAAAACAATTATCACTGTTTTTTATTTTTATTTTCGTTTTCAAGACATTTGTTAAACAAACACGATTGGCAGACCATTTTCATTTTTATAAATCAAAAGACGTGTAAAAACGTTTTTAAAAACAAGCAAAATTAACTCCAAACGCGCACTTAATTTTATAATTTTTATATAATTTCACAGGATCAAGAATTACGATGCTAATGCTCGCGCGCGGTATGTGAATGTTACTAGAACAACCACAATACTTCCATACATAGCCCAAGAACCCTTAAAGAGGACTGAAAAAAAACAAAAAAGAACTAAGAGAGAGAGAAGATTGAGTGTTGGAAAATCACGTATCCAATAAGTTAGAAATTTAGATGAATATCAAATTTTTATTTAATTAATTAGATAATATTCTAATTAATTAAAAAAACCAAATGGATCAATATTATATATTTATATATAATTATTTACTCAACAAGGACAAAATATAAATCTAATTATCTTATCTTGAAATGCACAGAAAATCATAAACTTCCATATGTATCTTGTCGTCAAAAAGGAAGATGAAGAGAGTGAAAGGAGGATTATAATTTGACACGTCATTCAAAAGCAAAAGCTTCTAACAGACCTCTACAAACGGACGTTAAAGGCGGGAAGGAAGTAAATTCCTTCAACTAGTAAAATAATAAAATAAAATAAAACAAAAGCTAATACATTTATGGATGAAGCCGATTTTTAGCCTAAGTACTTTTGGCTTTAAAAATCTTCAACGATGTTAGACTAGATTAAATATCTGATAAGAAAAAAAAATAGAAAAAATATTAGCTTAGATTATATTTTTTTCTCGTTTACTTTAGATTGTTTTTGCCGTTTCGAGTTTTTCTGCATCTACTTGCCCGTGCCAGAGAATCTGAACGCTGCAACTTCGTCAAAGGTTGCAAAGAGAGACAACAAGAGTTCTCCATCATTCTTCTCAACATCTAAATATTTTGATGAAGTAGATCCTTTGATAATCGTTTGCATATCTGGTTTTTGGCCAGTACCAAGGATGAAATTATCGATATTTATGAAAATATCAGTACTTAAATTTTACAAAAATATCTATA